AACAATCAATTTGGAGTTTTGGGGGCCGGAGGCCAGTTTGGTGAATTTGATGACCCAAATAAGTATAAGGGGTCTCTTTTGTATCTTTTCGGGAGCCAAAATAAATCCACGGGCCTCCAGGAGCTCCTGTAACTCTGCAAAGGCTATGTACCATTGCCTTTCTTTGGCTGCGGCCAAAAGAACATCATCCTTGTAGTGGATAATGTAAAGATCAGGGAACTTGTGCCTGAAGGGATCTAAACAGGCAGCTACATAAATCTGGCATATAGTTGGACTGTTAGCCATCCCTTGGGAGAGCACCACCCATTGGAAGTGAAGGGCAGGCTCCCTAAAGTTAATTGCAGGAAGGCTAAATGCAAACCGAGGACTGTCTTAAGAATGAAGGGGAATGGAAAAGAAGCAATCCTTCAAATCAATGACAATCAAATGCCAGTCTCTAGGAATGGCCACAGGCGAGGCAAGCCAGGCTGGAGTGCCCCCATAGGCTGCATGGTCACATTCACGGTCCTCAGGTCTTGCAGTAACCTCCATTTCCCTGAAGATTTTTAAATTACAAATATTAGCATGGAGAGGACCAAATGACCTGCCTCCAATTGTTCTTGAACTAGCTGGTGAGCCACCCAAAGTTTCTCTGTTGGTAAGGGCCACTGTCCCACCAATACCTGATCATCCTATAGCGATGTGATGGGTATGGGGGCTGGCAGCACAACAGTGACACTCATCAGAAGTGGCCAAAACCCTTCCTATCCCCCGGGGCCCTGGTATCCAAAGGGAGGGATGCAACCGGGCAAACCTCTCCCTGCTCTAGTTTACCTAGTCCCCTCCCTGGACTCCAGCCCATCCCTTGCACCATGTGGGGGGCCCTGCTTTTGGACTTGGGTGCCTGGGTGGTGAGGACCACTCCCATTTCTTGCAGAAGGTCCCATTCCCAGAGGTTAGTAGAGAGGCCAGATAAATATATGGTTGAAAAAGCCCTGTGTGGCCCTCAGAGTCTTGCCACTTTAGAATTCTGAGGATTTTTTTTTTGTGGCACAGCCTGTCCTGTTCCCTGGAAGGTCGCCGTCCCTTCCTGTTTAGGCCAGGCAGAGGGCCAGAATTTGTCTGAGAGGTAGAAACATCCTCCTCAGAATATAAAATGCCTTTGAAGGACTTGCCTTCTATCCTTAATGTAAGTTGGGGGCGATTTGCCATGGTGGCTACCCAAAATACTGCTGGGCCGGTACTTCCAAACCCTTGGTTGCCCCTTTTCTCTTTAATTTTTTGAGTCTCACAAGGAGCTGTAGGGAGAAGGAGCACCTGTGCAATCCGCTCTCATGCTGGGATGGCAACAACCCCACTGGACACTGATGTCATTATTTTAACCTCTCCCTTGCTATCCTGGTCTATAACACCAGGGTGTACTTGGATGCCTCAAAGGATAGTACTGGACTGTTGAGTGATGCCTTTTTCTTGTCTGCCGCTTGGTTTTCTCCCCACCAGTCGCCTGGACTCTGCTGCATTGTAGTCCCCAAATAACACACAAGACTCTGTATTAATTATGAAGCTGTTGGCCTTGCTTGTTTCTTACTGGCTAGCTCTGACTTAAGTATTTACCCCATAATTGTTAATCTAAGTGTTTTTCTTACCAGAGAAAAGTTTCTGGGCTTCTTACCCCTATGGAGGTTTTTTGTTTGTTTGTTTGTTGTTGCTAAGAGACTCCTCCTCATCTTCACTAACAATGGAGCCTCCAGCTTCAGGCAGGTTCTCTTCAGATGATTCATCCTTACTCCCTGCCTCTGAACACAGGGAGGCTTGAGTCTCAGTCTCTTGTAACTCTGAAAAAAAAAACTCTTTTTTGGCCTGGTGACTACCTGGCAGTGGCGAACCTTATCTGTCAAAAGTGCACCCCTCACTAATCTCCGTAAGGAGAATGTGGATGGGGGCAAGGACTCAGGTCCCTCTTTTTGTAAAAGTTGATGAAGATCATGGCAAACCTCCTCCCAATCTGGGACATTTAAGCCTCCCCCAGTAATGAACCATGGACTTGCTCATTCGATCGATTTTAGAAAGCCTTCTAGGGTTTTAGTCTTGACTGTAGTCCCTTGTCCTTCAAGTAACTTTTTTACTTGATACTGTAATTCAAGCTTCCCAGGACTGTTCACCATCATTTCTTTTTTTATTTTCCCCAATCCGTCCCTGGCCGGAGAAAGGGATGATCCTGTCCACTTACCTCGCTTTCATGTCTTGGTGGGACCTCCAATTGCCATGCTCGCTGCACAGCCTGTGTCTGAGAATGTGCGGAGGGTGTTGGGATTGATGACACAGAGACCAGTCGGTGATGCAAAGAAAGCTTCAAGAAGGCTTCCAGAAGGGTCCTCAAGAAGGCTTCACTTCATTCTTACCCTGGCTGGTTATTATATGTCCTGACACCAGAGGTGGCGGTGGATGGGTCAGGAAGAGGCAGTTAGTCATTGGAAAAGGTCAAGGTCAGGGTGTTCTGGTTGGTGAGCCCTTATCAGGAACTTATTGTTCCAGGCACCGTATTGTTTTTAGTAAACATGTTTTTAGTAAACATTGTCTTACAGCTGCCTGCTCCCAGGCTGATGGGGAAGTGGGCCTCTGGCCAAGGTCTGCTGTTCCCACACTAAAATGTTGATTTTTTTTTAATTCTGTGGGACTCTTAAAGTTGTACTGTGTTTTATAGCATGATATTAACATGTGATCTTGGGGACAAACAAAAAGGAAAAGTCATGGTTTAATAGTGATGTATTTGTGTATCGAGCTGACAAGGAGCCAATTGTGCTGACTAACTTTGTCAGTTTCACACAGGTTAGAGTCATCTGGAAAAAGGAAACGTCAACTGAGAATTTTCTGCATAAGAATTCCTATGGAGCACTCAGGAGGCAGAGCAGGTGGATCTCTGTGGGTTTGAGGCCAGCCTGGTCTACAGAGTGAGCTCCAGGACAGGCTCCAAAGCAATACAGAAAAACTCTGTCCCAAAAAACAAACAAACAAAACGAAAACAAAAGAGAGAGAGAGAGAGAGAGAGAGAGAGAGAGAGAGAGAGAGAGAGAGAGAGAGAGAGAGAGAGAGAAGAATGGCCTGTGGAGCATGTCTGTGAAGCATTTTCTTAGTTGATGTAGGCGGTCCAATCTCCTACGGCTGGTGCCATCCCTAGGCAGATGAACGTATAAGAAAGGTACATTAGGCGTGCAAGTCAATAAGCAGCATCCCTCCATGGCTTCTGCTTAAGTTCCTCCCTCCAGGTTCCTGTGTAGGTCTTCTGCCGAAATTCTCCCAGTGATGAACTATTACCTAGACATGTAAACTGGAGTAAGCCCTTTCCTTCCCAGGTTACTTTTTGTCATGATGTTTATCACAGCAACAGAAAGCAAATGAGTACAGTTGATAAGAAAAGAGATTTGTTTCCAATGAACAAAATTAATTATAGAATTATCTGGACCAGATAGACCCCAATCAATTTCATTGGCAGTAAAACGTGTTGGTAGTGAAATGAAGAGAGAAAATATGACTCTGAAATAATACTAGAATGCAGCTGTAATCCAATTGAAGATAAAGAATTCAAAACCAGCATCATTTTAAGAAAAAGATCAGGTCCTAGAAACGCCAAAGCCTCTGGTGATGTTCTTTTGTTTCAGTTATGAGACGAGTAGATGGAGCAGGAAACCATGTTTCAGTCACGGGTAGATGAAAACATGAATCACGAGAGTCAACAAACCCATGTGGAATTTATTGAAGGAAAAGGGAAGAAGAAAAAGGGGGAAGGGGAGAGAGAGAGAGAAGTGGAGAAGGGGGAGAGAGGGTCGGAGAAGGGAGAAAGAGAGGAGAGAGAGAGGAGAGAAGGGGCAAGGGAGAGAGAGAACATGTGGAGGTACTCGCTTAAAAAGGGAAGCTTGCACATATGTACTGAGTCTTTATGCGGCCCCATAATGTGTGATGTAGCCACAATGTGTCCACACAGCACTGGGCCCTTTGAGCTGCCTAAGTATCAGCCTGAATGCCGATATGTGTGCCCCACCCATTGTCTGGGGCAGGGTGAGCATGATGCCGGGTTCCAACATCTGGAACACTAAAAGATATTATTGATGAGATTACCCCTACTTTGGCCAGATTTGTATCTCACATTTGATTCCTCAACTCATAGTAATCCCAGCCTACTGAACTATTTACATGTACTTTCCCGCAGCACTTTTCTCTATAATGTCTTTTTTCTCCTCTTCCTCCTTCTTCTCCCTAACCCTGTATTTTCTGTCCCCAATTTCTTCCTCCTCCTCCTCTTCCTCCTTTGCCTCCTCCTTTTCATCTTTGCCTTTATCGTTAGAATGCCATTGTTCAAGACTGAGAAAAATCCACATTCATCCATGCCTCAAGACACATACTTTCAGCCCCTCTTTGAAGTCTTTTTCTACTAGAAGTAATGCCATCCCATGCCTGGACACCCTTTACTGTACATCCCTCATACTATTGGTATATGCACATTGTATTGTAATGTTGCAGTGTTGTGGCTGTATTGAAAATTCTTTGAAGGTGGGATATATGGTATAATCATCGGTGTGTCTCTCATTATTCATTGTATTAAAACAACAAATGGACGTAAAAATCACGCAAGCAAATGAATGCCTTTAATCCAAGTGGAGTTTTGTTATAAATGCTGTTAAAGTAATGCTGAAAGGCATATCTTAAAATTTAGATGTTTCTACCACAACAGTTATTTTTGTTTCTCTGGGTGTCTTTCAGGATTTGCTCACGGATCATCTACATAACATGAGATTTTGTCTTTCATTTTGGCCCTAGACCTAGTAGACTAGAACAGAGAAATGGGGACTAAATATTGCCATAGTTCAAGGTGAGGTGCCACTGCCCATGCAGAGCTGGTTGAGATTTGCTCTCTTAAGACTCAAAACCTCTCGAAGGATATGAAGTTCCTTGACCTGAGCAGCCTGTGAGATACTATTTTTTAGGGAAACTAATAGGTAACATCTCTATGCTGTTCTCTGCAGGAAACTTGATTTGTGCATCTTAGAAGAGGGTAGCGAGTAAGAGACAGCTGAGCTACTCTTACAGAGGAATGCCTGGAAACTTGTAGGAGAAGACACGGGGCAGCAGGCCCAAGAGGGAAGAGGTATGTGTTTTAAGAACAACACCCACTCTGAACATTTGTTAGCACAGAGGATAACCAAGCCTGCCCTGCCAACTGAATGGAACCACCAGGCTGAGAGAATTGGCTTTTTGGTGTCAACAGGACTTCCTGGCAGGAGTAGAGCATCCCCAGGAGAGATACACTGGAAGCATCCTGTTGAGGACAAGGTGATATGTTATGGAAATTGTATTTGATACCTAACAAGAGAAGTTACCTTAAATCTGGCATTAAGAGAACTTCAGATATGAGAACCCCAACAAAGAAGTCTCCAAAGAATATACAAGAGTACTTGGGTACTTTCTGAAATCAAATCAGGGTGTAACCAACCAAGTATAGTGGTGTGAGATGAGCTGTCCCCCATAGTCTGGACATTTGAATCCCTGGTCCCCAGTAAGTGGGTATTTGGGGAGGCTTAGGAGGTATGGCCTTGCTGGAAAAAGTTTGTCATTGGGGATAGGTTTTGAGGTTTCAAAAATTGCTTACTGGTCCAAGTTTGCTATCTCTCTTTCCTGTTTATGGTTTAAGATATGACCCCTGGAGAAATGGCTCAGAGGTTAAGAGCACTGACTGCTTTTCCAGAGGTCATGAGTTCAATTCCCAGCAACCATATGTTGGCTCACAATTATCTATAATGAGATCTGGTGCCCTCTTCTGGTGTCCAAGGCTGAATGCTCTATACATAAATAAATAAATAAATCTTTAAAAAAGTTGTGAATCCTGGGCTTGGATACCTCCCTTCCCTGCCTTGATGGTGATGGACTCTTATGCCTCTGGCAATATAAGCACAAATAAACTCTTCTTCTATAAGTTGCCGTGGTCATGATGTTTTATCACAGTAATAGAAAAATAACACTCAAACTAAGTAGTTTTCAAAAATTCATTTCTGCCTGGAACAGCCAGACACTGCGATTCATGAGTTTGGGGACAACAGGAACCCCCAAATGGGGAAACAAGAAAGCTTTTAATGCCCTTTTTCACTTCAGACTTCCAGTCAGAAACAGCCTGTACTGAGGAAGAGAAAGCCCCCAATTTCAGTTCAGTTAATCACAAGGCATACACGTGTTATTGACAAGAACAAGATAGTTTTAAGATGAAATATGAAAGAAGTCACTCTTTTATTAAAGACTGGTCCGAAGATTCATGATCTCTGCTGCAATTCCATCCAACTGGCAAGGAAAAGTATATTCTGCTGAAAATGGAGTATGGAAGTCGGGGAACAAATTTGTACTGTGATGCTGTCAATCATATTCTTCCAATGAAATATAACACAGAGCTGTAAACAATAAGAAAAACAATTTTTATGCAACTAAAATTTGCAGTGCTAAAGGCTAAACCTGGGGCTTTGAAAATGCTAGGCAAGTGTTCTACCAGTGAGATACCTCATCAGCTATAAAAACGTGATTTTCAGCACTCAGGAGGCAGGAGCAGGTGGATTTCTGAGTTTGAGTCCAGCCTGGTGTACAGAGCAAGTTATAGGACAGCCAGGGCTACATAGGGAAACCCTGTCCAGAAAAGAAACAAACAAAAATGTGATTCTTTAGTTGTGATAATAGCAATCATAAAATTTAATAACCAGTATGCAAAACTTTCTTCTACACACAGACTGAATTGCATAAAAAGTGCGACATGGTGTGGAGGGACATTGGCACCAATTGTCATCATTCCAGACTGCCATTGTCAGTCTTCAAGAGAGGAACTTTCTGTGTGGAATAGTACTGAGAATGATACCATAAGTAATGAGGAGCACTCACAAATGGTGCATAAATTATCATGTGATGGATGCTCGAACTTAGATTAAAAAACAATCCCTGTAGAAAGCAGCTTTACTTTTGCTAATATAAAAAAGAATCTCTGTGGTCGTTTGAGAGTCAAAATTCCAATCCATGTTTGTTTTTGACGTGTCAGCCAAAGAGATGCATATCACATTCACTTCTTTGTAAATATGTCAGAAATAAATATATTTGAGCGTAATTGAAGAGCCCCAAGTGACTGAGTCTGATTGCAAGGGGCTGGGCTATTCAAACAGGGATGCTGGTCAATCGTTTCTGTAGGCAGCCTTAAGCATTCTTCAGTACTCTCTGGAACAGGCCAAGTTCATGTTTAGGACATAAATGTAGAGGGTTTTGGTGCATGAGCTTTAATATGTAAATTTTTAAATGTCATTTTTGAAACTAAATATATATAAGTTTACCGGCCTGATGGAAGATTTGTGATATCCTCTATTTATGTAGGGATGCTTTATGTTACTTTATATAAATGTTAAAATCACATTTATTAAATACATGTCTTATTGACAGAGAGTTCTTCTTTCCTGTAACTTTATGTAAATATTTGGGAAATAAGACTCTCATTTATGGGCCTATAAAGGATGCGGATGTATCAGCAACTGCTCTGATGTTATTGGATGTAAGTAAAGTCTACTCATCATATTAATAGACTCTCATAGGATTACTCATTCTAATGAAAGCATTGACTTAAGAAGTTTTGTGATGAAAATTATCATTGCTAATACTACTAGCTCTCTGAAATTTTGATTATTGTAAATGGTTCCTTTGAAGTCAAAGTTTTCTTCCATTTGTATTTATTTTACCAGGTAGGGTTTAGGGAGTGGAGAATATACAAAGGAATGAAATAATACATAGTTACTTTGAAGCTATGTCTACATATATACACAGGAGATAGGTTTTATTAGTGATTGCCTCGAACAATCTGGGTTTAGAGTTAAATAAGAACTATACTTTATAGTCAGAGACAAGGAAATAGAATGTCAGTATGAATCACTGGGTAGGGCCGGGACCCACCCCATGATCCAAACCAAGCTTCCTAGTTCCTGTTCTTAGACTTTGAGCTCTTGGCACTCTATTTTCTAGAAACTATAGCTTTAAAGGATGTTACTTTCTGTCTCTCATTCTTGAATCTTGAAAAATAAGTATGGAGTAGATGAAGTGATACATATAAACAATGTTCAGCACAGTTTTATTCTTCCAGTTCAAGAATATGGAAAAGGAGATATTAGACATTAACCTTCATTGTTAGGATAACTATCACCACTTCTTCCATAGGTATGATTGAACCAGGGGAAGACAAATGCCAAAAAATACACACTAGAGGAAATATTACAGAATAAGAAGGTGAAAGAATGGGATTCTCATGATAGATTCTAAGGAATTTTTTAAGTCTAAATCATCAAAGCCTTTGGAAAGAGAAGAATATACACCATCTCAAGTAATTCTTTATTCCACAGTTATTACTGATGAATAAACATCATGTCATATATATGCATTAGGACAGAAGTAAAATAACATTGAATTTTTTCCCTTAACTTGTGAGATAACTTTAGGCAATAGAAAGTGCTTACATCCCAGTACAAAATGCTATAAATTTTGTTAGATGGATGCTTCTGTAGATAATGCTGGAAGAAATCAGAGTAGGAAGAGTTTAAGAGACTTTGGGTTGAGCCAGTTCAATCCAAGCTCCAAAGGGGAAATTTGGGTTGTGTACTATGAGTCCAGATATATAATGAGCATCCATGTTGATTCAGTGATGGAGCGATGCAAATGTGGACCATGTTTCTTTTTGTTCTCCTGTTCTCTGATTGGCCTCATCAAAAGGCTGGTTCTTTAGCTGCAGGGATTTCGTCATGTGAGGGGTCTTTCTGAAAGTTCCAAAAAGCAAGAAAGCTTCTTCCCTAGAAAACCACCAGCAAATATCTTTGTAGTTTTATTGGCCTGAACTAGGTATTGTATTGTGTCCTCTTCTAAATGAGTCACCATAGCCCAGGGATTCTCAACCTGTGGGTTGTGACACCTTTGGGGTCTCATATCAGATATCCTGCATATCAGATATTTTACATTGCAATTCCTAGCAGACCAAATTGTAGTTATGAAACAGCAATGAAAATAATTTTATGATTGGGGGTCATTACAGCATAAGGAATTGTACTAAAGGATAACATAATTATGAACGTTGAGAACACTGTTATAGGAAATAGGATTATGTTCATTAACTTATTATGACACATATACATATGAATCAATAGTACACATGCCATTTGTGTTGACTATGCTAATATTTGAACAATGTCTGAATGATAATCAGGAAATAGGTTGATGTTTGGATTACAAAAATTGTTCAGGAAATCAAATTAAATTTGAACTTCAGATATGTAATAAAATTTTTCAGAAGTGTGTCTTAAATATTATGATATATATATATGCTAACAGATCATATATTTTTAACTGAAAATCAAAATCAACTGGATAGCATGTTTTTCTTGTGTATGTATGTGTGTGTAGCACAAATTCCAATTGGTTTTAAAAATAAAAAGTCAGAGTCAGATATAGGGACTAATGATGAAAATTCAAAGAACCAGTGCAGCCAGTCACTAGTTCTTACCTCTATTGACTCCTTAGACCAAAGGATCAATCCTATTCCTACGAATCATCAGACCGAATGCACAAGATCCTGTCTCTAGGAATCCTCAGACTGAATGCAATGAGCTCCTATCTCTTCTTGTCTTATATTCCTCTTTCTGCCCAGCCATGTCACTCCTGTCTCCACCTCCCTAGTGCTGGGATTAAAAGTGTGTGCCACCACTGCCTGGCCCCTGTGGCTAACTAGTGGCTAGCTCCACACTCTGATCTTCAGGAAAGATTTATTTGTTAAAGCACAAACAAAATATCACTCTGTGTGTGTGTGTGTGTGTGTGTGTGTGTGTGTGTGTGTGTGTGTGTGTATTACTGAGATTTGAACTCAGGACTTCACGCATGCTAAGCAAGCCCTCTACTGCTGAACTATATTCCAAAATTATTTACATCCTATCTAGAAAACTCAGTTACAGTAGATAACTGTAAGACAATTACAATGTTTACTTCAGCTAGGGAAGTTGGGGAAGTTGACATAGAAAAGATGAGACATTAACTGTTTGATAGATGGGTAATGCTGCTTGCTGGGGCTGGAACATGGCCTCCTCATTCGTTATT